ACTGGGAGGGGCGGGGAATACGATTGCTTATTCTAACACTTGAAGAAGGCGGAGATAATCTCCCTGGAAGGGCTTCCCAACCCCGACCTTGGAATGTCCTCAAGTAGACCTCTTTTTTTAAAGTAAAACATTGAAAGAAAATAGTTATTTCCCAGAAGGCAATTTATTAGATTGTTTTTAGATAAATGCTTTCATTTAACTTGTGAAGATACTCTGATTCATGTAGAACCCCTCACTGTTTTGCAGGTGGTTTTGTGAGTGGTTACCACTGGGAAATGGTATAATGTCTTTTCAAACAAAATATTCATAATTAAAGTTTGTATAGTGCCTGAAGAAAATAAGTCAATTTCTGTATTGTAACAACTGATCCTGTCTCGAGGCAATCACTGTAGTTGGCATTTATTAAAGTCTCATACACCTAGTGTAGAAAGATTACTTAGATACTGTTATAAAGGGAACATAATGAGGAGCTTATATTTAAGTTATGGAAGACGTATCTTGTGAACTTGATGAACAGTTTTGAAGACTTTGAGAAAAGCAGTAGATAAATCTCAGTGTAATATACTGCATGTCACTAGTACTCTGAAGGGTTAACAGGAACAACACGGTATCATCTACCTAGAAGACATACTATGCCACTTGGGGGGCTTTTCTGCTTAACCTCTTTCACATGATGTAAAATGTAATTCCTTATGATTGGCTCAAGTGGTGGTTGTTAATACCTGACATTCTTTTACTGGGTATCGCCTCCATTGGGTTACATGTTTCAACTGGAGAACATGCTTTTTCTCTGGACTTGTTGTAGTTTCTACTTTAGCTCTTCTTAAATATTTATATAAAGCCTTAGGGTAATTCCAAGTTCTGAAGAGTCAAGCTGTCAGTACATAATTTCACAGTGTTAATTAGCATTTCCCCAGTTTCTTGCATACTTGAAGCATTAAGCAAATAAGTAATAATGGTGAGAGGGTTTTTCCTAAAACAAGCTTTCAATTCTATATTAGTTTGTGCTGTACTCTAAAATTTAGGAACATTTTTTTTTGGGGGGGGGGAGAGGTTTTTGCTATAGGCACGTGCCCTCGCCAGACAGAGAGAGACAGAGAGACAGAAAGCGAGAAATCACCCACCTGGGGGATGGCCACGCCACAGTTCCTTCTCCTCCATTCTCCTCTCGAGATCTTGGGCACGCATGCACACATGCCTGCTGTGAATTTAAGCCACTGGGTCCAGGACGCGAACCGCGGTTCCACTACATTGGAGTCCAGCAACATAGTCGTTACGCTAACTGCTGGTCCCAAATTTAGGAACATTTTAAGGTTGCTTGTTCTTTGTTAATATATTGTGAAATTTATTAATGAAAATAAATTGAGTTTTTGCTACTTTATATTTATCCCCAGAAAATGTGTAGCTTGGCTAGGTCTCTAAACTTGAGATTGTGAACTTGCATAGGCTACTCTAGGATATTTTCTCTTGTTGCCAAAAGAGAATGTTTTTTCAAAAGTGAAATAACTGAAAGTTGGATTGTGCATTAGACTAGGCTAGGAGGTCAGAGCGAGTGAGTGAAGTGAAGGACTGTGGAGAACTAGTGTAGAGAGCCACACTGGCCTTGTCTGTAAGGCCTTCGTCCTGACATCCCTACTTTTTTTTTTTTTTTTAATTTTTAATTAATTAATTTACATTCATTCCCTAAGCATTGTCACGGCATACAAAATGTGATTTCCCATCCAGAATATACTGCATAGTGTCTTAATCACATATGTTATTGTCAATAATTTTCCATTTCTAGTTTCATATGTATGTGTGTATATGTATTTCCCCCTATTTCTCACTCTCTGCCCTTTCCCACCATTCTCCCACACTATCTCAGGTGTCTACAGTTGTTTTCCATTTTTTACCCCACATTTTATAGATTCACAAAATTTTTCAGATAATCTAACTACTTTCAATAGCAAGTTCAGCTGGTATATACATATCTGTGAATATATGTCTGACTTTAGGTGTGAAACCCTGAGTAGAATGAATATAGTAGCACGTACCTGATGCTATGTAATTTACTACTGACATTAAATAGATATTTTTTAATATCTATTTTTTAGTTTCAAGAAAAGCAGTTTTAGTTTTAATAAATCAAAATATGCTGGGACCAGTGTTTGGCGAAATGGCTATGTTGCTGGACTCCCATGTAGTTGACCACTGTTCGAGTCCCGGACCTGGTGGCTTGAAATCACGTTGGGCGCATGTGTATGCATGCCCAAGATCCCAAGAGGAGAATGGAGAAGGGATTGTGGTGTGGCCATCCCCCCTGGGGGGTGATTTCTCGCTTTCTGTCTCTCTCTCTCTCTGGCAAGCACACGTGCCCTATAGCAAAATCCTCTCAAAAAAAAAATAAATAAAATAAATAAAATAAAATGCTAAGGAACTTTGCTTAAAGCTTAAAGCCAGGAAACAAGTTAGGATTCTGTTCAAATAGGAGGTTCCTATCAGCAGCTCAAGACAGGACAAAAATCCTTAAACCAGAAAACAAGGCCTAGAAGAAAATCAGCAGTGTTTTTGTCAAAAGTCATAAAATTCTATTTTACCAGTTCAGTCTCATGCATTTAATCTATCTTCTGTTGTGGTTTGATCTTCCTGATTAAATTCTTCGATGTACTATTCAACTTCAAACTTGTCCCTACCATTAAATTGGCCATTTTCTTAGTTTTTGAACTCTTATTTGTTTGTCTTTAGTTTTCCTGGTATAGTACTCTCTCCAGAACTTCTTGAAGAGCTGGTCAGGTGTTGGTAAATTCTTTCAGGTTTTGTTTATCTGAAAATGTTCTTGTCCAGTTCAGTCTCATGCATTTAATCTATCTTCTGTTGTGGTTTGATCTTCCTGATTAAATTCTTCGATGTACTATTCAACTTCAAACTTGTCCCTACCATTAAATTGGCCATTTTCTTAGTTTTTGAACTCTTATTTCTGTGTGTCTGTATTTAATTTTCCTGGTATAGCACTCCCCTCAGAACTTCTTGGAGAGTTGGTCTGGTGTTGGTAAATTCTTTCAGGTTTGGTTTTTTTTATTTTTATTTTTTGTGAGGTTTTTGGTATAGGGTGTGCACTCGCCAGACAGAGTGACAGAGAGACAGAAAGCGAGAAATCACCCTCTAGGGGGAATGGTCATGCCGCAATCCCTTCTCCTTTCTCCTCTCGGGATCTTGGGCACGCACGCACATGCGCCCGGCGTGAGTTTTAAGCCACCGGGTCCGGTACGCGAACCGCGGTCGACTACATGGGAGTCCAGCAACATAGTCATTACGCTAACTGCTGGTCCCCTTTCAGGTTTGTTTACCTGAGAATGTTCTTGTATCTTCTCCCCATATGAAGTATAACCTTGCCAGGTGCGGTATTCTTGGGTGAGCACTTTGATCATATTTTCTCATTCTTTCCTTGCTTGCATTGTTTCTGATGAGAGCTCCACTGTTAGTCTGATGGGATATCCTTTGTAGGTAACTTGATGTTTCTTCCTTGCCAATTTTAGTATCTTGTCTTTGTGGTTTTGGTCAATCTGGCTATGATGCGTCTTGGAGAAGATCTTCTTAGGTTGATTCTATTTGGGATCCTTTGTATTTCTTGGGTCTAGATCTTTGAATGCCTCTCTAGATTTAGAAAGTTTTCTTGCAGGATTTCATGGAATAGATTATCAATGTCCTTATGAGTCTCTTTGCCTTCTGGGGTACCAGTTATCCAGATAATTGACATCCTCCTTGCTTTTTCGTCTTGGTTTCCAGCACCAGCTCTATCATTGAGCAGTTGCATGATCATGACCAGATTATGTCATCTTTACATGCTGCAGTGTATTAGCCCTTTCCTTAGAAAAATACCTATCCTATCTATCTCTTCTAGGCCTTCTACAAAGCTTTAAATGAAGTAGCTAAAATATGTTAAAAGTGCTTCGAAAACTGTATGTTACTATAAAATATAAGATGGCAGCATTTTTCTTTTTGTTTTCTCTCATATCTTTTGATCTTCTTGATTCCGGTCCCAAATGGAAAGCAGCCCTCCTCATTTAGCTCTCTTCTACCCTCCGTAAGCCTCAGCCCTGTTTTCTTCCTCTTGTGCAGCCAGTGTGCCTTTCCCTGAGAGTTGGCATGTTCGTTAACTCTGTATCCCCTTCTCCTGCCACTGTCTCTGGCAGTCCCTCTTCTGGGAATGGATATTCATGTTTGCCAGCTCTTAGCTTCTCTTCGCAAACCTTCTTCATATCCCCTGTGCTCATGATAATGGCCCAAATAGGATCTTTTGAAGAGCTAGTTGAAGGGATAGAGAGGAGTTAAAAGGTATGGATTAGGAAGCCAGTCTCATTCGTAAATTTTTAATAGCTACTATTTTACACATATCTATTACCTACTAAAATGATTTATGATACTTTGACATCTCTTTGCCTGGTTGTATATTTAGTCTTCACAATGTTCTTTCATCTAAGTACCTTATATTCATTAGCTTCAAGTATAGGCAGTCAGGTAATAAAGAAGCATGAAGGGCCTGGGTTTGACATTGGAAAGTTGCAAAATTAGGGCAGATCTTTTTATTTCTCTGTACTTCTCATCCTCATCCATAAAAAGTTTGTAACTACATTAGCAGCTTGTTGGTCTGGATTAGTTTCTGAATTACTGTGTGTGAAAACAACCTAAGACTGCTTGACCACAGTAGGTGTGTTAAGAAGTATTAGTTTTCTGGGGCCAGCAGGTGGTGTGGTGGTAAAGGGCGCTGGACTCCCACATGGCCAATCACAGTTCAAGTCCTGGACCTGGTGGCTTGCTTTCTCACTTTGCAACTCTCTCATGCTCTCTCACTCTGTCCCTCTCTGGTCAAATTTAAATAAATAAATAAATACAAAAATTCTTTTTTTTTTTTTGAAAAAAAAAGTAGTGTTTGTTTTCTTTCCTTATCACTGTTGTGTTAAAATCAGTGTTCTATTTACTTACATATGTTGTCTGTTTTCTACATCTTTTTTTTTTTCCAGAGCTATTCCATGGCAGTATATCTTGTAAAACAGTTATCATCAACAGTTCTTCTTCAGAGATTACGAGCAAAGGGAATAAGGAACCCGGATCACTCTAGAGCTTTAAGTACGTATGATAAACTTATTTCATTCATGTAGCTGTTTTGTTAAAGGTCAGTAATTTTTTTTCAACTCGAGAAATTTTAGAGTTTCTTTCTTTTTTAAAACCTATATCTGTTGTAGAATATTACAAGTACTAAAAACCTTCTTTTATGAATTTATAAAATAAGACCAAAGTGTAGTTTTTATATCTTTGTCATAAATTATATTTTATAATCTATGCTTTACTAATCTTAATGCTAACTTTTAAAAGTCAGTACACAATCATGGAAAACTATTTTACTACAACCTAAATAAATGTTTAAGAATTCTAGGAGATATTGGGGAGGGGGCAGCAGATGGTATGGTGGCTAAAGGATCTGGACTTCCACATGGCTAATTGTGGTTCAAGTCCTAAACTGGGTGGCTTGCTTTCTCGCTTTCCCTCTCTTTATCTCTATGTCTCTCTCTGATCAAACTGGAAAATAATAAAATTAAATGAAATAATTCTTTAAAAAAAAAGAATTCTAGGAGATAGGAAGAACATTTTGGTATAAATATCAAGAAGATTACATATTGAGGAAAACTGCACTGGGTTACTCTATCCCTTCATTAACCAAGTAGAGCCAGTAGGGTGGTAAAATAATCATGAGCTGGCTTCTGCCATTAGTCAGCTGTGTGGCCTTGGACAGGTCACTCTCCTCCTGAGTCACGTTTCCCTATCGGTCTGAGTTTGTACACGCGATTCCTAGGCTTTCCCAGCCTGGCTTCACTGGTGTGAATGACTGCAGGGTTCATTTTGATGTGTTCAATTTGAGATGTAAGTAAGATCTGCTAATGGACTTTTCTGTGTTCAAGTAAAAATACATGTATGTTTTTTAATGTCAATTTTTTTCCTTATTTGACAAAGGAAGAGAAAGAGACAGAGGCATCGTCAGCAGTCTGACTTGATCATGATTCTCCTGCCCCGGCCTCCCGATTAGCTAGGGTTACAGGCACATTAGGTGGGTCTGGGCACTGGCAGGGCCTCCCATCCAGTTTCCGGCCTCCCAAGTGGTGATGTTCCCTGTCACCACCACTGCTGGGCCCTGGCCTCAGTTTATGAGGGTTAAGGCCAAAGTTCAGAGGCCCATACAGAGAGAGGTGGTTTGTGTTCTCCTTTATTCTCTCTTGAGAGGCACATTCTTTTTGTGTTTTTTGTTTTTTTGTTTGTTTTGAGTGTTTTTTTGTTTTTTTTGAGAGGTACATTCTTTTTTTGGGGGGAGGGGAGAGGTTTTTTCCATAGGGCGCGTGCGCTCGCCAGACAGACAGAGACAGAGAGACAGAAAATTTTTTTTAAAGAATTATTTTATTTAACTTTATTTATTTATTTTAGTATGACCAGAAAAGGACAGTGCAAGAGTGAGAGGGAGAGAAAGCAAGAGGGGAAGAGAGAGAGAACGAGAAAGCCATGAGGTCTGGGACTCAAACCACAGTCAACCAAGTGGGAGCCCAGTGCCATCAACCGCCACACTACCTGCCAGCCCGAGAGAGCAAACATTTTATAGGTGGGAGTTAGATAGCTATTTACTGAAGATTCTTGACCCGAGTTGATTAATGGAACCCATTATCAGATTCATAGTTAAGAATACTGGCGGACAGAACTGAGGTAGAAAGGACAGTTTTCCTCTTGCCTCCCCTTATAGCATAGCTTTTATTTATTTATTTATTTTCTTTAACTTGTATCTATGCCAGGCTGACAGATCCCACAACCCCTGGATATCATTATATCCTTAATAGTTCATTAAAGGATTTTTCTGTATTAAAGGGGACCCTTTAAAATGCAGAAAATTCTGAGTAGTCATCTGGCTGGTGCCTTTGTGGGCTGACGGATGATGGAGAGCATGAATGATAGCACTGATTTGTGGTCATGAAGAGGGAAGACCATTTGGCAGGGACTTGAAGATAATGGAGATTCTGAAAGAAGATTCTGAAGGGGACATGTTTCTTGAAGGAGAGTGCAAGAAAAGATCTTTTGTGTGTCTGTGTGTGTGTGTGTTTAGAGTGATTTTTGCTATAGGGCACGTACATTTGCCAGAGAGACAGAAAGTGAGAAATTACCCCCTAGAGGGGATGGCCACGCTGCAGTCACTTCTCCATTCTTCTTTAAGGATCTTGGGCATACACGCAGTTACGCCCAGTGTGAGTTTTAAGCCACTGGGTTTGGGATTCGAACCACTGTCAACTACATGGAGCATAGCAACATAACTGTTACGCCATCTGCTAGTCCCAGTCTTTTCCTTTTTTGACAATCCATGCTGAAGTTGTTCCTGGTTATTCCACTGAGAGTCTTCCTTTTCACCTTCTAGTGTTAGAATCTCAGCTGGCCAGAGTGTTGTGAAATTCTGTGAACTTGTGTGGAGAAGGGAGTACCGAAAGACGAGGCAGTTGAAGTAGCTGTAATCGACAGCAGCGTAATACCAGCAGCAGTAATAACGAGGCATGCTGTCTTGGCGCAAGCTAACTGTTCTGGTAGCACTGGCACCACCTGGAGGGGGAGGAAGGGGAGCCTGGAATTTATTTTCCCTAGGGAGCTACTGTTTGCTTTTTTCTTTTTTCTTTTTTTTTTTTTTTTTTTTTTGGAGAGAGAGAGAGAGATTTCTGCTATATGGTATATGCATTCACCAGAGAGACAGAAGGCGAGAAATCACTCCCTGGAGGGTGGTAGCCATGCCACAATTCCTTCTCCTCCATTCTCCTCTCAGGATTTTGGAGATACATGCACATGTGCCCAGCATGAGTTTCAAGTTGCCAGGTCTAGGACTCGAACCGTGGTTGACCATGTAGGAGTCCAGTACCTTTATTAGTATGCCACCTGCTTGCCCCTTTGCTATTGTTAAGCACCAAATGTTGTGTAATTAAAAATCTAATTATTTGGGCTGGCAGGTGACATGGTAGTTAAGGCCCTGGACTCCCACATGGCTAACCATGGTTTGAATCCCAGACCTGGCAGCTTGCTTTCTCACTTTTTCTCTCTCTCTCTCTGGTAAAACTAAAAACTAATAATAACAAAAAGAGTTAAATAGTTCATTCTTCTTTAAAAAAAATTATATTTCAATTCTGTTACACTTGTTGGATGCAGGGAATAATTGAACACCATGTGAAATTTTCTGGCTGTTTATATCTTGTCTTACTTACTGGCCAGAGGAATCAATGGACCATTAATTTGGATCCTACCAATAAAAAGTTTGTAGGGTCAGCCAGTGATGTGATGGTGGTTAAGGTGCCTGGATCCCACATGGCCAACTGCGTGGTTTGAGTCTTGGTCTGTCAGCTTGAAAGACACACCAAGGGCGTGTGTGTGCATGCCCAGAATGGAGGAGAAGAGATTGCAGCATAGCCATTCCTCCTGGCGGGTGATTTCTCACTTACTCTGTCTCTCTCCAGAGAGTGCATGTACCCTATAGCGAGAACTTCAAAAAAAAAGTTGTAATTGACTGAAGAATAGCTTATCTACCTGTGTACTATCTCTAAAGTAAGATTGCCAACAAATTAGTTCTGTAATTAGCATATTGTTTAAAATAATGTGACAAAGGAAAATGTCAGGTGCATCAGATATTTTAGAAAAATCAAATTACTTAGAAATAGGTTCATTGTAAATTGATCTTCGTAAACTCTGCCGGCAGAGTTGTATTAGTCAAGTCAGGAACTGTTATGTTCTTGAAAGAGTAAAAAGTTGATGATATTCAGACTTTTCATAAAGAAACCCTTTCTCTGACTAATTTGATTTAGTAGGTTTTTGTCTTAGAGTTTCCACCTTTGTGTAGAGTTATACCCGCACAGCTATCACGAACAGTCTTCTACTGGCTCCTGGTCAAGGTCTCTCTCTTTACCCTCCTCTCTCCCTCCAGCAGCTACTTCATACCTTGGGCATACTCTCCCAGGCTGTCGTTCCACCACCCCCAGCACATTCGAGTGCAAGAGAATTGGACCTTCAAGAAGTGAATTTCTTTCTTTCTTTTTTTTCTGTTTTTGTTTTGTTTTGTATTTGTGAGATTTTATTTTTGCTGTAGGTCACATGTGCTCACTGGAAAGACAGAAGGTGTGAAATCACCTGCCTTGAGAAACGGCCATGCGCAATCCCTTCTCCTCTCAGGATTTTGGGGATGCATGCACACACCCAGTGTAAGTTTAGGCTGCCAGGTTCAGGACGCGAACTGTGGTTGACTACTTGAGAGTCCAGCGACATAACCATTATGCCATCTGCTGGTCCCAAGAAGTGAATTTTCTAAACTGCTCATTTCTCTCTTAATATTTAAACACTAACTCCCTTCTTTCTTTTCTTCCTTCCTTCTGAGAGTCAGAAAGAAAGAGAGAAAGATGGAGACAGAGAGATAGGCATCCCCAGTCGGATCTTTGCACCACAGTCCATTCCAGCCTCATCCAGCCTAGATCCATCAGTGTGGCACCACTTCTTGGCCCTCTCCCTTAATTTTAGTGTTATCATCCTTTTTAGTTTATCTCCATTTGCTCCATCCTCACTTTACTCCCTTCAGTGTAAGGAGGGTATATCTCTTTCCTTCTCAAAGTGAATCTGGTATTGATTTATTCTTTTCATTCAAGAAATTACATTAAAAGTCTACTGTGTTCCAGGAGTGGAAAACTATAGGATTAAATAAGACGCACACCTTTGCATCACTCAGAAGTTTGCAATCTGGTAAAAAGACAGACACTAAGTCATTACACGAGTCCATAATGAGTTGCAGGAGTGACATGTACCTTGAAGCAGAAAGACAGGGAATTGTGTAGAGGTCCAACAGGGAACATAGCCCTCTCTGGTGCCATGATGCTCGAGTGTGTAAGGATGCGGAATTGAGCCTCCAGGTGGAAGGGATTATGCCAAGAGAAAAGGCCAGTGGAGCTGAAGGGGAGTGGCCAGAGAGATAGGCAGGTGTAAGTTCACAGTGATGATCTAAAGACCGTTGATTGGTGCTCTTAAAGGATTTTTTAAACTGCAGAGTGGAATGATCATGTTTGGACATTCTGATC